TGATTACTGGTAACTAAATATGACCAAACAGAGTGAATGGAAAATGATCAAAGTTAATAAAACCATTGGTAAAATCATAAATTACTCCTGTCACTGACGATGCCGACTAGGATGCCGGCGAAAAGTTTGGGAATGTACCACGTCCACGGTCCGACTTTGGAAATAATTATGCAAACAATGGACTCAGGACAAGATGCGTTCCTCTAAGTCTTTCTGCCAACATGACTAAGTTGCGAAAACAAAGTCAAACAACTTCTGAATAACGAAAGGAGACTGCGACCACAAAAAAGACCACACCATCTTGGTCTTCATATTTACTCATCTCATTTTTTACAAATTTAATGCGCAAGAGTAGTATGGCTGTCCATTTAACCAAAAAATAGTATTTATAATATTCGAGTGGGTATTAACATAATGAAGGTTAAAATTATGAGGTAAAAGGAAAGACAACAAATTATATATAAGGAAAACTCCAATGAAAAGCATTACCATAATAGCGTATTAACTCAGCTTCCTTGTTCATCCAGATACTGTGCAGCCAATGTCCCAGTTGTTCGCCAGCATAGAGGCCACGAGCGCTGCATTTACGGAATTGCTTCTTAGGTCGTTTTGGATGCACCTGATTGTTATCGAGATCTTGGTTATCCGTCAGGAGTTGGTTCTGTTGTTTTGGGTTTGTAAAGTTTTCGCGAGACGAATGCATCAAAGAACAGTTACTGGACAAACTTAAATTCGTTGACTCGGTGTCAGTGGCCAGCAGACAATAAGGTTCTGGGCCCAGCAGAGTCTCAGAAGCTCCAGGCAAATATCTATTGCCCCTGATCCTGGAATGCACATCGGCAGAAGGCCCATCATGCTCATCGATTGGTTGAATGCCACTGAAAGCAGATTGGCCAGCAGAGAATTTATCGCTGGCTATATCAGATTGGCTGAGGACGGACGACGAACGTAAATTCGACCCAGGAGAACTGTCTTGGAGAAGAGATAGAGGCAATCGTGAGGCCGGATACCGCTTTATGAGAAAGTGGACTTCGCGTGGAACGTAGCCTAGGATGAAGGCGGAGGGTTCTACAGGCAAGGCGTCCGGGTAAGCAACCGTAACGTCATAAATAGCATCGAACTTGCCTTAAATATGATGCCGATGAAAGTAGGAATAAATATGAAATAACCAGATTTTGTAGACCAAAAAAAAATATATATATATACTTTTAAAATAATGCTTGGCATGGCCTGTTTCACTACCTTGGCCCCAAATTTTAACAGCTCATAAATACGGGGAGCTAGAGACTTGGTCTCCAGCCTTTTTAATCTGCTCTAGAGTATGCCAGGTACGCAATTGCATCGTCCTGCCATGGTCTGCAAATATTCCTCTAAGGAGAAAAGTATTCGCGTCACCTTTTACAACGATCATACCCAGGATTAACATCTACCTGTTCAAGCCAAGAAGCCCCCCTACAGCAGATAGAGCATCAGCAGTTCAAACAGCTAAATCGTGTCACTATAACTCACGGAATGCGCTTTGGCCACATGCTACTGTACAGTACCATACTCCCTTAGGGCCACTGAGATGCTTTCCTCATTATTTTGTGTCTGACAGTTCCAATAGTATTTCCACCATTTCAATGAGGTAAATATAAAAGCAAGCTAATTTTCCGCCTTTATGTCCTTTCTTTGATCGAGTGCTACGTATGCATCGCGCATTAAAGAGTATTAGCCCTCATTTTAGGTAGCATTCATCCACATAGAGGCATATATTTTATTTGCCACATGCAAAATCTGGATTATGACTAAAGTCGGTGGAAGTTTTGACCTCGCCCAGGCCTCGTCAACTCCCTCAATGAGTTTCGAGTCCAAGAGGAAAATCTTACGACACAGGTAGTCGAGCGAGATAGGACATTGAGATCCAAAAAGCATCAAAGTGCAATAGGACAGACAAACCGATGAATGAATATAAAGTAAGGATAATGGCAAATTATGCGTTAATGTCGCTTAGTAGCGATGATTGCGGCAAATGTATGAAATAAAAAACATCATGCGGTCTTACGATAGTGCTTAAACACAAACATACAAATCAGAATAGTCACAGTTGAGCTAATCACATAAAGATCAAAAAACATTTCAATTCTCTAATCAAGT